TCATGACCCATGGGTAGAATGGAGCCAAAATGGAAGTTCAAACTTATAGGGAAAGCAGCCATAGTAGTCAATGAAATATGTAAACATTCTTAGCTAGTGTGGATTCAAGTAATTCAAATCATACCCCCATCCCCCATTTTATAGGTAGGTTTGGGACCAATTGCTTTTAAGCTTTTCAATACTGGATTGATTTATGCTTTTTAGCTCTACTAGTCAGAGACCAGAAGAGCTTATGCGATAGTAATGCGTCTGGCGTCCGTCTGTCTGTCTGTCCGTCTGTCTTTAAACAATTTTTCAAAATGCTACTCCTCCTACAGTTTTGGTCTAATTTCAATATAACTTGGCACACAAGTAGACTACACTAAGATACATAATTCTGTGTATCGGTTTTTGATTTCGATGAACGGTGTTGCCGTGGTTACTAAAAATAGAAATTTCTGTGAAATTCTTTCAAAATGCTACTCCTCCTACAGTTTTGGTCTGATTTCAATATAACTTGGCACACAAGTAGAATACACTAAGATACATAATTCTTTGTATCGGTTTTTATTTTCGATGAACGATGTTGCCGTGGTTACTAAAAATAGAAATTTCTGTGAAATTCTTTCAAAATGCTACTCCTCCTACAGTTTTGGTCTGATTTCAATATAACTTGGCACACAAGTAGACTACACTAAGATACATAATTCTGTGTATCGGTTTTTGATTTCGATGAACGGTGTTGCCGTGGTTACTAAAAATAGAAATATCTGTAAAATTGTTTCAAAATGCTACTCCTCCTACAGTTTTTGTCTGATTTCAATATATCTTGGCACACAAGTAGAATAAACTAAGATACATAATTCTGTGTATCGGTTTTTATTTTTGATGAACGGTGTTGCCGTGGTTACTAAAAATAGAAATTTCTGTGAAATTCTTTCAAAATGCTACTCCTCCTACAGTTTTGGTCTGATTTCAATATAACTTGGCACACAAGTAGAATACACTAAGATACATAATTCTGTTTATCGGTTTTTACTTTCGATGAACGGTGTTGCCGTGGTTACTAAAAATAGAAATTTCTGTGAAATTCTTTCAAAATGCTACTCCTCCTACAGTTTTGGTCTGATTTCAATATAACTTGGCACACAAGTAGAATACACTAAGATACATAATTCTGTATTCTATTTTTGATTTGGATGAATGGTGTTGCCGTGGTTACTAAAAATAGAAATTTCTGTGAAATTCTTTCAAAATGCTACTCTTCCTACAGTTTTGATATGATTTCAGTATAACTTGGCACACAAGTAGAATACACTAAGATACATAATTCTATGTATCGGTTTTTGATTTCGATGAATGGTGAAGGCGTTACTAAAAATAGAAATATCTGTAAAATTGTTTCAAAATGCTACTCCTCCTACAGTTTTTGTCTGATTTCAATATATCTTGGCACACAAGTAGACTACACTAAGAACATAAAGAGACTTTATCAACGATCATTATTCTATTTATTGCTGTTGTAAAGTTTCAAATCCCAGCTGCTTAAGGACTTTTCTCTTCCTTTGCTATAAGTTCAAACCAGTAGAGCTTCAGTCTCGACAGAGACTTCTGGTTTAACGTTATGTTGTCTCATTTAACTGGCAACTCAGATATCCGGATATTTCACATATCCGGACAAATTGACTGGGAACCGGATAAATGAGGGTCCACTTTATCTTAATCACTCACCTGCTATGGAAAAAAAAACTATTCTAAAGATGTTACCAGATGTTTGTGAATTATATTATTATGAAATATTCCACTAGATACTGACCTGTGTATATTGTCCTTGTGTTTTCATGTTTCGGACACACCTTCCCTCCCCAAAGCGTATAAACTGCTAATTATTAATTAAATAAAGGTACATTTTTAGTATTTATAAAAGTAATCAAAACACATTTTATTTGATTTTGCCTTCTCGTTAGTATACTGAACGGGACAGATATTGGTACACCAAGTCCGATGGTGAAAGTTAAAAGTACAGGTACATATCGTCACTAGTAGACCACCAGATTTTAAGTAAATCGCCGTTTATTAAAAAAATCAGAAATTTTGCAAACTTTGCCTTACAAGGGTCTTTCTTTCTAATTCAGAAATATATAAATATAAATACTTTAAAAATTTGCTGATAAAATTCAGCAAATTCATATTTCAAAAGGTGAATAACGTGTTAGGGCACCGCAAAAGTGGAGCATCCCCTCACCAAGAGCATATCATTAAATCAAAATGGCATTCGACCACAGGCACCTGACGTTACTTATTTTTCTTTTAATAAAAAAAATATACACATACCTAATATTAAACAAGGTATCCATCGAAATCCGCCATCTTGGATTTTCGAAGTAGGTCATCACTTGTATTTTTGTCTGAAAGACTGAAACTCCGTCAAATAAATTCCCTGCAACCATATTCTTTCTGTGGCCAGTCTTTCGAGGTCTAAACTTACGGACACTGCAGCCAGAAAGGCGCATCACACTTGCAAATATTGAAAATCCCTCGTCAAACTCGACCTAAGGGGGCCGGAAGTTTACATACGACTTGAAATTCTTAAGGAAAGCCCTTTTTTGATTGGTCAATATATTTGTACGATTTATTTTTAAAAATAACCGGCGAAAGTTAGTGATTATTCCAAAAACAATAATTCAGACAATAATACAACGTAATATACATTTAAGAACATTTTTATTTCTCTCAAAATAATTTCGATATAGCTTGATAAAAGCGATTATATTTTGTAAATGTAGGATCGGCCTGATCATGCTAGTTGATCAATGAACATTTTCACAAATTGAGTCGGTTGTAAGTCCCTACTTACATGCACTAAATATAATTAATAACAATGTCATTATTGATGCCCTTTGAGCGCTATCCGTGGAGAAGATTGACTTTAATATATTGGGGGGGGGGGGGTCCACACTCCACTGAAAATCAGGCAATGGGTGGCACATCGCATGTCATGGATTTTTATTATTTTTTGCATATAGACTTATTAAAGCGAGTGTTTACACATGACAACATCAAAAAATTTTTTAGTGCTCCTCTAGTCCTATTTTTGATAAGTGCTCAATTTTAAGTGCAAAAAGGTCAATATGGGGTTTAAAAGAATTACTACGTTTTTATCTTGTTTTATATGTACCAGATACGCAAAACCTGGATGTGTCTATCAATATTATTTATTCCATAGACTCTTATCTTTAATTTTAGTAATGAATAAGACTCCAATTTATATTTCTTTAGGAAAAAATATGTGGTCCAAAATTGAGTTTAGCAAGTAACTTTTTGAATTCACCATCCAATTTTCATTACGTTATAAAACCCAATACATTTCAATGACAGATTTTTTTTCTCATGTTATTATGAATACAAAGTACAAACTTTTGAGTCATTCAATAAAATCAGTGGGCACTCGTATATTGAGAGAAATAAAAGGAGTCAAATTTACCTATGTTTTACAATTTTTCACAATTAAACCGATCCCGACCGGAATTATATAAAGTAGGAAATACTATGATTGTAATGTTAAATTTGACTCTTTTGTTGTAATATGGCCAAAAAATTACTTGATTTATTTTTTTACATGTCTTATGGGTGGCAGTTGTCTTTAGTTTTATAACTTTACACATTTTGCATTATTTTCAATCGGGATCGGTTTTATTTCAATCGGGATCGGTTTCTAAAACTAGAAATTTTATCAAAAAAAATTATGCTTGTCTTTTATTTCTGTTCAGTTAGTCAACTGTTTTAAAATTATTTTATCCATGGATTCAAATGTTTATACAATGTATTTAAAATACTAATGTCTTTTACGTACATGAAGATTACAACCATGTATAAACATCTGTTCGATTTCTTGATACTCGGTATTAAAAAAGCAGAGTATTTGTACATGCATTATGCAACAACTGAGAGTAAACAGCTTATCTTTACTAAATATCTTATTTTCAACTAAAGTTTTTTTTAATTCTCTTGTGAATTAAAGAGTTCAATTCTATCATTGGTGAAAATATACTTGCGCGTACCTAAATGCAGAAAATAATTTAATGTGCACAGTCTCGGCTTTATCCAAATTTTTTAAACCTGTCATCTATAAAAGCCGTTTCCCCTATATTTTCATCTTATAAAATTTAATTTTATATTAATAAGAAAATTAGTTATTTCATATATAGTATCATTATTTAAGAGCCTATAAATCGCAAGCAAAAAGCCGGGACGGGGTAGGTGGGAAGGAGGGGGGGGGGGCAAGGCGGCATATTAAAAAAAAACTTCCATTAATGGGAAAACATTTAAGAATTGGCCAACATGGTCACATTTTTTAACTCCATATTGAATGTGAGTATGTGATTGTATCAATCACCAAATTTAACCAAAAAAGAAATAAACAAACAAACAAACAAAAACAATACAAAACAAAAAATACGCCCACGAAATCTTCCGTTTTAGTGGCAAATTGAAGTGGGGAGTTCAACAGTAATTTACTCAATAAATATTTTTTAAATCTTATTTTTCACTCTTTTAATAAAATATTTTTAATCGTACCGCGGATCGTATACTTTGATTTGACTGCGTAGATACATGTAAATATAATCAAGTGTTTTGTGTGTGTGTGTGTGTGTGTGTGTGTGTGTGTGTGTGTGTGTGTGTGTGAGTGTGTGTGTGTGTGTAAAAATATTATGAAATAAACATCTCAAACTTGAATTAAATGTTGCGTAAATCTACAAAATTCATCTTTCCTTGATAATCAGAAGAAAATAAAATCTCTTCACATCCCAATTTTATAAGAAATATTCAATATAAACAATTAATTATTTGTACGCATAGCCTAGTAAATCAGTTTAAAAAATTAGTTCTCGGACATGTACAAAATTACATTTCAAAAGGGACTTCTAGCTGAGACGTCGCCCGTGAAAAAAATACATTTTATATGATTATTTAACATGTAGGATAATGCACTCTGAAAAGTAATTGAACAGAAAAAGAGAAATTATTTATTTTTAATCGTTTTATTTGCGCTTTTATGCAAAGAATTTACAAACTTCTTTGGAAAACTTGTAACTATTTAATTGTGACGCAATATTAGTCAGGTATAATGACGTCACTGATACATCAATGGAAACGTGGATTCAACCTGAATAATACTGCCAATCTTAATCTAAATATTACGTTTGGAGGCGAAAATGAACTCTATTTTGAAAATAAAGTAGTAAGTTTTTGTTAAATAATTTTATTTTCTGTATATATTCTAAATATTTCACTAGGATTTCGATAGTAAGGTGTTTAGCAGATTTACTGATGCCACGGGAGATAACTTTTACATCGCAAAATTTCATAAAAACGTCTATATATTTTGACAGAAAACTACTATCAAAAGTGTTTTGCCCACCAATTTTATTTTTGAAACTGAAAGACGAAATATTTCTAGATTTAGTTCAGCATGAATTATAGTCCTGTTAAATAAGTATTGGAAATTACAGTTCGTTGTTTCTGACCTAAATTCAATGGTTTATACAGGGGAATTCAAGAACACGAAACAAATGGATATTTTACTAAATAAGCAATTTTAAAACAAATCTTCGATTACATTATTCCATTTGGACTACATTGATATTGTTTTCAATAAAATTTCAAATATTCGTCACATTCGATGTGCCGCCTATTAATAAAAATCCTGATCATTGGAAAACTAAACTTGGGTTCCTATATGGTAAAGAAAATGTACGAAATGCACATAATACTGACCAGATCCTTTCAATTTGTTTTGAATGTTGTCAATAAAACCATCGTAAAAAGGATCGTTCCATGTTGAGATTTGTCTATCTTCTCCCATCAGTGATGGTGTTTGTAATGCTGTTGGATATGGCTTGTCGTGAGTTATTAGCTTCGTCTTTTCGCTACAACGTAAATAAGAACTTGAATCGACTTTCGAAGCGTAAAGTGTCGCATACAGTGAAATCACTAATTTTCGTGGAGGTTTAATTTTCGTTGTTTTCGAGGTATGAAGAGACCCACGAATTAATGTTCATAATGAAAAGTAAAATGTCATATACATGACTACTCAAAAATTCTACATCCACGAAATCAAATCCGCGGGAACCCGTATATTTTCTCTCCAACCAAGAAAATTTGACCCCACAAAAATATGTGATTTAACAGTAATTGAGAATTCGATGTTTTTAAAAACATTTTTAGGCAGATTATAACCTTTCTGCAATATCGTTATTTTGCTTTATTTCCTTTATAACATCACGTAAATCCTGTATACTTCGCTCCAAATGCATACGCATTAAAGCTTCATGTTCAAGTTTATCTTCTAAACGGTCAATTTCTTCGTGATGCTGCCTTGGCAAAACTTCCATCCTATGTGAAGAACCTTCAGCCACACAAAAAAATGAAAAGCAAAAAATATAATAATCTTTAGTATAAATTTCTAAATATAAATGTTTAATTCCAATTTTTTTTATCTACATGCAGCTTTTCTCTTCTTTATTGAAATGTATTAGAATGAAAAAAAAGTTATACCAATGAAAAATTGATTCCTTTAAATTTTTTTAATCGTAATACCCACAAAACTTGGTTTCGTCGTCGTTTTGAGGACAGTCGGCGATGCCATCACATACCCAGGAGTAGGGCACACATCTAGCACCTTCACATGTAAACTCGTTTATTAAACAACCACGGGAACCGTCTGGAAAAGAAATATTTTTTCAACACAGACTTGCTTGCATTGTTTGAAATTACCGAGATTGAAATTGTTTTGAGGAAGGCAATTTTGGTAAGCTTTCAAATAAAATTATAATTTGCTATGGTTTGGAAAAAAAATGGGGAAACAGCGCTTGTAATGTACAAAATTTTGATTGATAGTGTATAGTTTAACGTCCCTCGAGAATTTTTCACTCGCAAGGAGACGCCACCACTTGCCTGTGGAGAGCTGCATTTTTTGTCCTATACACATTCCACAGTTGGATTAGAACCCGCGACGCAATTAGGATCAACTCCTTACTTTGTGACTCTAAGGCAGACGCTCTAATCACTGCGCTACGCGGGCGATTGTACATCATATTAGCATGACACATACCGGTAATTTGTAAACCGTTCACAGTTCTTCAGTAGGTAGAGCGCTCTATGATCGGAAAGTCGTGAGTTCGAATCTCGATCGCAAATGACCCGAGTTCTTTCGGCATGTACTCGACACTGTTACTGAAGCGAAAGTTGCGGATCCTAATGAGACCTGATAGTCGCTGGCACGATACAGATCCGTCACTACTCAGTGGCCCTCAGTGCCGTGTAAAGGTCAAAAGTTGAAGACATTCACATTGGGAACGTCTCTTTTTTTAAGAAAATATATCTAATGGGACGTTTAACAGCAAACAATCATAATCTGCAAACTATCGCTTTGGGAGTTCATGAGATTAAAAAATTCAATTTCAACATAACAGGTGCTCTCTTGAATGTCACAACTGCAAATTTGACTTCCACAATTGTATAATAATATTAAATTTCTTGCACCTTCAATGCCAAAGAATCGTTTGTCTAAAGGCCGGTGTTATCGGTCAACAGGGAATTCTTTATCTTCCCAGGCATCTGATTCTACGTCTGAGGTATCTAGGGAACCTTGTTTAATATACCCTCTTTGCAGAATTGTATTGTTTACAGATCGGTTTCTGTTCATTATCTTCCATGTTTTTCATTTTAAGTCTAAATATATTTACCTGGGACACAGTAAGTTCCATTCACATTCGTCATAAATCCAATCTTGCACAAACATTGTTTTTGTGAATTACATCCTCTTCTCTTACATTGCGCATGCTCGGGACACTCCTCATCCAGGCTACATCCATGATATATGTCAACTTTCCTATTCCTTTCTGATAACCTTCCCATCAAAAGCTTAATTAATTGATTCAATTTCCCTTCATTGTTTCTTCTAAGTAAAGGCACCACAGTTTTATTAATAAAATTGTGTGCATTGTGAACATTCCCTTCGGTACTTTCCATTAATATATCATTGTTTACATGATTACTTTGTTCAGTAGTATGCGAAGAGTTTCTTATCTTTAAGGTTGCATTTTGATTATCCGAAGATCCTGTAAAACCCTCTTCGGAAGGCAGTTTCTTATTGGAGAGAGCGTCTGTAGGAAAATCCTCTGTTATGTCAGAGGGTAGCTTATCTATCTCCCCTTCTTTTACATTTGTGTCAATATATTCAGGACCAGTCTTGATTTGTGGATTTTCCGAAGATGAAAGCATTTCAGAAGTTGTGTCGTCTGATTTATTTGAGAAATGGTCGTTTACTTGTGTTCTGGATGATATCACGTTTGAATCGGCAACATCAGAATATGAAGGATCTTTGATAGCTGTCCTATCTTCAACTTTATTACCAGTCTTTTCATCGTGATTTTTTAACGGTTCCCCACTTTTGACATCCTCTGGATTAGAGTTGTCTTTCTCAGTTAACTTCCCATGGATTTCCTTGCTGTCATCCTTATTTTCAGAAACAACAATGTCTTGTTCCGTATTTGAAGACATATTTTCCGACATAAAATCGTTTGCTTGAACCTCGTCCACTATCTGACTTACACTATTATTACTTTGAATAACATTGTTTTCATCCATCAAAAGATCCTCTGGTACTTGGAGATCTTGACCATGACATTGGTCTGTAAGTTAACAAAAGCATTTGAAAAATATTTCCACACTTAAATTTATTGCACCAACACCAAAACATTCACGTTTTTTGATTGTATTAAGTAAAATACAAGTTCATTTCAAAATTATTTGTTAAATATTTTCTTATGTACCTTTTATTAACATGAACTTCGTCCTTTAATTATTATCAATTAAGAAGGAATAACCGTTCCTCTTATTTATTTCTGGATTTTTATTTCCATATAAAAGGGAAACGTCAAATATCCAGGGATTGACTGGACTTACCTACAGAGAAATTTTTGTCAACGCATTTTCGAGCCTTTAGAGGATCTAACCAAAACTCTTTCGGGGTTATCTCCCGTTTGTCTTCTGGACAAACACAGACATTGCCATCACATACGGTTGACAGAACACAAATCTTGTCAACGCACGGATGGTGGAGTTCGGCTTCAAACGGGGACTTGCAATGGCCGTCAAAAGTTGGTTCCATAAGCTCATTACACTGACACACACCATCCATGCAAACAGCAAATGGAGAGAGGCATCTGTTTAGATTTCCATCACAATCCTCTCCCATTAGTTTACCTGCGAGATATTTGACTATTTTATTTATCTGTTGTGTGGTTCTTTCGGTAGAAAATTGCTTGTATATATCATGTGTACAAATAATATATGGAGGTAACGAAGAGTATTTAAGCTCAAAATGCCATAAAACACTACAAAATAGGAGCAGAGCAAACACGGACCTCCAAAACATCTGAGGTAGGGTCAGGTACCTTAAAAGATTGAGCATTCCATGTCGACCTGGTCACATTCGCCGTGTGCTCATTGTCATGATCGGGACATTACGGGATAACCTGTCGCCAATTCAATGTGTATGTAATGGCTTAACAATTAGTATGAAAAAAGTCCGTCAGCATATGATTTAATAATAAAATGTTTTGCTGAAAAGGTCATTGCGTCCACCGCTACAAGAATAAGAAAAGTTGAAGATTGAAAAGTCAAACATCTCAATCGTCATTAAGCTTGATTGTGCGAAATATTAAATCCATATCTCTTGCGTGTACAGTTCTTGAGTTGTAATGTATGACAAACAGGCAGACAGACACCTAGTTAAGTGATTCCTTAGTGTCTCTCGTCTCTGCATGCGACAAACAAATGATATGTTTTCAATTTTGATTCTTACCTGGAACACATTGTGATCTATCGTCAGTATACACGAATTGTGAAACACACTGACACATATATCCCTCACACCCGTTAGGGCGACATCTAGCGTTAGCAGGGCATTGGGTGTGTCTGGTGCATTTCTCAAATATTAGAAGAGCTGTAAATACATACATACATAAAAGAAGAGAACAAGTAAAAATAAATATTGAAATTCAACGACAAACTAGTCTTGAGAAACTAAATTCATACCTTGAGAAAATGTTATCACGATAGAAAAATGAATCAGAAAATCATACGAAAAAGCCATTTGGTTTCAAAACATTAAAAGTCCGGTAAATACGTGCAGGACATGTTTGCACTCTGAAACAATAGGTTGTTAGAAATGTTCTTTTTTTCTATAGTTAGAGATTACATAAGAATTCCAATGTCTGTCGCATTTCCCACGTACATGTTTCTCGTTTGTCATACATTAAAGCGCACCTGTTGTGTAAAAAAAATTGATGGAGCGGAAATGAAGACCAATACAGACAAATCGCTAACGTTGATTAATTCATCATAATTAAACATTTGTCATACATGTAAATGGACCAAGGAGAGCATATTTAAAGAATATTTCTGTTGATGGAGAATGATCCATTTAACCAGCGAAAATGTTTTTAAAAAATATTTACCTTAGATTTTTAGGTCACCTGAGTAAACTCAGTTATGATGAACAAGAGTGCCTCTTCCAAAATTGTGAATTTAATGGCCCCAGGGTCAGGGGTTCTGGTGTTTGGGCGGGGCTCTATTGATTATATAGTGAAAATGTATTCATTCTTTGAAAATCTTTTTCTCTGCTTCTGAGTATTAATTAAACTAACTCTGTACATAGTTATGATGAGCAAGGGTGCCTCCTATAAAATTCTGAATTTTATGGCCCTAGGGTCAGGGGTTCTGGTGTTAGGGCGGGACTTTATTGATCATATAGTAAAAATGCATTAATTCTTTGAAAATCTTCTTCTCTGCTTCTGGGTATTAAATAAACTAAATATATTTATGATAAAGAAAGGTAAATCTAGCAAATTGGTTTTTTTATGCCCCCTGGGAGGGGGGGGGGGGTACATAGTCTGAAAATAAGTTAATGCTTTGAAATCTTCTCTTTGGTATTAGTCAACCGTTTTATGATAAAATTTGCAAAATTTTGAAATATGTGGCCCCTGGGTCAGTGGTTCCTTTGGGGTGAGGTGCACAACTGGGTGTAAAGTGGAAGTGCATTTCCTCTTTGTTACTCTGATCTACCTCTGGGTATTAAGTAAATAGAGTAAGCATGCTATTAGTTAATAATTATGATAAGCAATGGTGCCTCTTTCGAAATTGTGAATTGTGAATTTCATGGCCTCTGGTTTAAAACAAACCAAATTTAATTGTTTGAAAGTTGTTACACAATACTCAGGTGACCTATAAGGCTCGTGGGCCTCTTGTTTTAAATTAATACCTTGCTTTGGATTTTTTTTATCAATACGTATGTACATTATCCTGGTATTAATGATGAGATCGACGTCATTTTCTCCAAACGGAAATAATTTTTACGTACACGTAGAAAAAATGAAGCTATGATACGGTCTTTCAGATGTTTTGTTTTGATATACATGTTATACCTTTCTGTGTATAAATAACTCTTCCTTGTAGTTATCACTGATCAGATTCAGTGTTGAAGTAAAACTAAAAGCAATTTTTCTTATTATGTTTATCATTTGAGCTCTTCTGAGTCAAATGGCCATTCATGTATGTGCGATAAAATTGAAGAGTTATGGGCCCTCTCCAGATACAAAAGCAAGTCTTTATCACATTTTAACCACATATCCTTGGCCCCGGGCTTTCGTTTTCACCCCAAACTCGGGAATTTGACCCTACAAGGTATGAGTTGTGTTGGCATTTCTTCCATATTAACAGTTAATTTATATTTAATTTCCTCTTGTACGTTAACTTTTTTTTTCTTTTTCAACTAAGAGTGCCCTTCCTTCTGCTAAAGCATCATAATCTTTTGTATGTGTTATATTTTTATCTGATTCCTACATTATAATGGTTACCAAGGGTAAGATGGCCTCATAACTCAGAACACTGGACTGGAGAGAGATACGTCTGCACTCTTCAGGATGGGATCAAAGGAAGGCGCTAAAAATGAGGTGACATTGGAATGATGAAGTCCGAACCCCATGTAAATGAATGTATTTCTACTACCTTCTCCCCATTCATGTAGGAGAAGTATTTACATAAATGAATCAATATAGGTATGACTTGTTCAATGTGATTTCTGGAGGGTTGGTTGTCATTCTCACGCCAGAGGACCTTACGGCTTCACTTATATCTCTGTCAACGCCTGTTGTACAAATTTTCAACAAAGAATATCATGTTTTTATAATTGGTTTGATTCTATTTATTTATAAAAATGATAATGTATCATTCAAGTAAATTCTAGCATCCCTATACCCCCCCCCTCGAAGTTTTTTGAGAACTATTTTGTAAAAAAAAATTATGATCACATTATAACAAAATGGGGGTTAAAGTTAAAAATGCTGTTTTCGTCTATAAAAAGAGGATCTCTGTTACACCGAAGCAGATGAATGATTTATGCCATGTACTGATTGGTAATAAAGTATTGGTTACTTGCCTGTTGAATAGGGAAAAGTTTGGTCTTCCATGTCATGCCAAAATTGTTGAAGTTCGACTCGAACAAGGCTTTATTCGTTAATGTGATAACACCTCAGAATATTATTCATAAGACCAGTTGTGTACATTAGCTGCGCACAATATCAATTATTTCAGATTAAATACTGTCAAAAGGTTATGTGATATCACAGAAAATGGCAATGTTTATAAGGCAAAAATGGATGCAAACCTTTATGACGTTATTGCCGGAAGATATCGCCATGTGCTCTGCCATCCCGAAGCTTTGCTCAATACAAGTGTGCTCTGCCATCCCGAAGTTTTGCTCAAAACAAGTCTTGGGAGGAAATTGCTTGACAATGAAGATTTCTGTAGATTAATTGTGGCTGTGGTGGTTGATGAATGTCACATTTTAGACAAATGGTAAATTTTAGAAATCGAATAGAAAATTAAAATCCTAATTAAATTTGCAAACGATGAGATTGTCTTGGGCACAGTTTTGAAGGTATATCCTGCACAATCTTTGTTAAAATCCATGAGTTATATGTTACAAGTACATAATTATTATATAAAAAATGTTCACAAGTTTTTATATGGAGAAATTTTAAGTTCAATTTTGGGTGTTTAATTGACTTGCATTTCTTCAATCTAGCATACACCAGCCTAAAATTTATCCTAAGTTTTGACTACTGAAACGATGTGTAAACGAACAATAACTGTGTTAAAAACCATTTAGGTTATTAATTGACTTGGAGGCATAACATTAATTTAACATAGGGCTTTGGTAGAGGGTACGTGCAGTGTTCCGTGGTAGGATATGGAGATAACGAACAGTATTCAATCTAAAAGTCCATAAAACAATACAAAATAAGAGCACAGCAAACACGGACCCCCGAAAAATCAGATGTGGGATCAGGTGCCGTGGAGGATTGAGCATCCCCTGCTGACCGGTCACACCCGCCAGCCGTTTTTGCCATGATCGAGGCAATAACGGGGAAAAAAACCGTCGTCAATTCAGTGTATTAATAATGGACTAACAATTGGTATGAAAAACGTCAGTCAGCATTTGACTCAATGATAAATTGTATTTGCTGACAAGGTCATTGTATCGACCATAGATCTTACAAAATGATGACTTTAAACGGGACTGCTGATATTCTTGTTTCATCAACTTGCTTGTCAATAATTTACCTCGTTTTTAGATATTGTTCATACGTAGAGCATGCTCTTGCGTATCGAATCAACTGAAATATGTATACTCCGTATGCAGGTGATGAAGGTATATTGCTGCATAACTTAAACTGTTTTCTGCAGCTTTCCCTTACCGTATCACTCTCAGAGATATTCACAGACTTTGGTGTAAGTGGGAAAAGAATTCCCCGTTTTTTACACACACTTGCTCCTACCTCTAAGAAATGCAAGTTTGACACCTTTAGTTGCTCAAAAAGCTCAAGAAAACATGAGTTTTTATAAGAAGCAGTTTCTACTTTTTCCAGGTTCATCGTTTTTGTTATACAACTCGTCAGCAATGCCTCCTCCCACTATTTTTTTTTACTTGCTAACAAAGTCTTTTCCAGTATTCATTGGTTATTTTCTCCCTTTGAGCTTCAAAGTTTTAACATTTTGTGATAAGCAAATGAAACAATAATTGAAATTTTCTTTCCCTAACCGGCGTGGCCGCCGCCATGTCGTTCTCATGTGACAAAGGTAGGTCACGTGCACCGGAACTACTTTGCAGGCGTTGACAGAGGGTTAGTGAAGTTTGTGAGCGTCCTTGTGAGAAAATGGGTTTATTGTGATGTATGTTGATTAACGTCCCTCTTGCGAGAATTATTAACTCGTATAGAAAGGCCACCACTTGCCGGTGAGAGCTACAATTTTTGTCCTATACACGGCATTCAGGACCATATAGCAGTGAGGGATCTTTTTCGTGCCAGCACCTACTGCGACACGGGACTTCAGTTCATACAATCTCGTCCGAATGACCGGTCTCCACGTCCAACAATGGGATTCGAAACTGCGACGTAAGGATCGACTCCTTATTTAGCGACGCAATACAGACGATTTAACCACTGCGCCTTGAAGCAGTGCCGAGGGGCTGAAATAAGCAAAGCATCCATTTCTTTAGAATACTCAGAGTGATATCTGCTGTTTCACCATCTGAAGAATCGATCCCTCGAATGAATAATCAAGGGCTTTCGGTACTTTTTGACAAAGAGACACATTCTTGAAAGAACTGAATATGATTGTTTTTCTGTTTGCAGATTTCCGCTTGACATTGAGGATGGATGGAAGATTAAAAATTTAAATCTATTCTTACTTCCCGAATGGCTAAACAAGGTGAAACAGGCACTTGGGGCAAAGTTTTCCAGTCTTGCATTAGGCCAATTTTCCTGCACAGGATGTGGATAGATACCAAAAGAAAGATAAACATTTGGATGAAAATTAACTAGGTTCTAGCTTCTTGGAAACACATGTTTAGCAATGACAGCTTCTACTCATGAATATTTTCACTGATTGCCGAAAGCTTGAAAATCTCTCGTTTTCCGCGGGGTAATCTCTCTCGTTTTCCGCGGGGTTATCTCTCTAGTTTTCCGCTGGGTTATTTCTCGCGTTTTCCGCTGGGTTATCTCTCCCGTTTGCCTCTACCGTCTTTGTGGAACATGTGTTTGCTATCTCTATCTTTACCGTTCTCCTCTGCCATCCGTAGGTTAATTTCTATCTCTGGCTTATCCTTCTACTTCCTTACAATCTCTCTCTTCACTCTTTTATTATGGTACATAAATTCTCCTTTTTGGTTAAAGATTACTGTTTTTTCTTTCAATGCTGCCTGTCTTTTATTTTTTCTATCATAACTATGTATTTATTTAGTTTAGTCTAGTGGGCAGAACCTTAAATAATGAAGGGCATTTTGTTAATTTTTGCAAAAGAGACACTTTCTGGAAAAAAAAGTGAATTTGAAAGTGCTTGTTTCGCTGTTTGCAGCTTTTGCAGAGAGAATAGATGGAACATTAAACATTAAAACCAATCTCTATTTCTCCTTCTCCTTTGTCTTAACAAGAAGACACAGGCACAAAGTGAAGCAGAATTTTCCAGTAAGTGGCCATTTTTTTGTGCACAAGATGGGGATGGATACCAAAATAAAGGTA